TTGTAAATATAATTATGCTTGAGCACTATTACGATCACTTGCTAATCACATTGAGATTGACGCTTGAGAGCGACCATCATCGCTCAAAATTTGCAATGAACTTAACCCGCTGTTTTTGATAATCGCCTAAATTTCTTTAAACTTTAGACGATTATATCTCGATAACTACTTATCCAAAATCGATGAAAATTTTTTTATTTTAATTCTATGGATTCATAGAATTAAGGTAAAAAATTTTCATTGATTTTTTATAGTACTTACTGAGACAACATCGCTCAAAGTTTGGAAAGAACCTAACCGCTGATTTTGTTTTGATAATCGCCTAAATTTTTTTGAACTTTGGACGATGATATCTTGATAGTTACATATCCAAAATCGATGAAAATTTTTTTATTTAATTATATGGATTCATAGAATTAAGATAAAAAAATTTTCATTGATTTTTGTTAAGTACTTACTGAGATATCTTCGCTCAAACTTGGAAAAAAATTATATAATGTTATCAAGGATCGTTCGTCCAATCAGAACGTGATAATTCGAGTAGAATCTAACAATGACCATAGCTTTTTTTCGCCATGGCTAGGGTATTAGTGATTTTCTATGGTGATTAAGACTAAATTCTGTATGTGGTTAAGACAAATTCTGTGATTTAATGTGATAAATTTTTTAACAAATTTCTGTGCGATTCTGTGCAGTTATGTGATATTATTATTCTTTATGGCGGTTTGCAATCATGTCATGTAAAATCACGTAGATTTTTCGTTTCTTGGAGAATTTTAAAAGATTTCGAATAAAATATAAACGTTATTGATTGAAAATTATGGTCAATAGGGAATTAAAATCTCGGAAATTTTTCCGCTATCGTCATCACGAAATCACAAGGTCACACATTTTTGCAAACCGCTATAATTTGTGTTTAAACATATAATTCCGTAATTTCCCGACAAACATGCTTGTAATTTGTGTTGATTTATTGTCTACCTTTCCAGAATTTCCAGCGTCGACGCGAATTTGTGGTCAAGTACCACAATATTTTAGAATTTTATGATATTCTGCGAATATTTTTTAGAATTCTGTAAGTTTGTGGTATTTTGTGGTAACTAATGATGATTTCTGTAGTTTGCTGTGTTTAAGCGAAATTCTGTGGTTTTCTGTGAATCACAGAAAATCACCGTCCCTGTACCTGAACGATACTCCAGTTAAGTAACCAAGCGAGTGATATATCGACGGTATACAAGTAAACTTAGTGACACTAGTGGTGTGAAAATTATAAATTTTTTGAATTTTATTTACATCTGAATATTTGAATATACTTAAAATTTTTTTGGCTCACATTAAAAAATTCCGAAAAATTGGCAGTATGACCAGAGTGGCGAGTAAATCTTGTAACAGAATTTTTTTACAGTAATTCTTACAAATTATTGTCACTGGAATAGCGAGTTTTATTGTAGCTCATGGTATAAATTAACTCGACCTTATCTACATACTCATTATGAAAACTAAGATAATTCCAATGCTAATTAACCACCACATTTTTGATTACTGGAATGCGAGTAAGTTTTGCAATAGAATTTCTTGGAGTAATTCATAAAATTACGATAATTCCAATAGCAATTTTTATCTAGCTCATGGTAGAAGACATGATAATTCTGATACAAACTAACTTGATCTTAACCACATATTATGTCCGACTAGAATAACAATCCTGTAACAGGCAGAACTTTTTACTGATATGATAATTCCGACTACTGGAATGGCGGGTGAGTTTTGATCAGAATTTCTTACAACAACTCATAAGAGAAATAATGATAATTACACAACACCAAAATTATGTAAAGAGGATGTACAGTAAAAATAATAACTATTTCATTTTCTCAAACGCAGGTCATGCTTCTCAGATACAATCAGAAACGTTAAAGTACACGACTCCAGAATTAAAGATATAGATAATACGTAATGTATGTACCACCACGATAACAAATACAAACATGTGGATCAATGATTAAAACATAAAAGTTACATTAATAATCAATATAATATGAACAAAATAACTGCATATGAAGTAAATTTTGTAAGGAGTTTTTTTTATAAGGTACTCAGAGCAGCTTCAATAGTGAAATTATGAGATTTTTTTTAAAAAACATTTATTGATCTACGTGTGCAACGTACACATACGTGTCATCTGAACGTGCCGTTCCGTATGACATGATATAACGTGCTATTTATTAACCATAGCTGCCGCAACAAAATTGGACCGGCAGAACCTCGATTTTGATTGGCTAACGGCCGAGGATTTTCAAAATTTTGGCCCACATTACAAAATTGTTTACTAATTTCCGGCCGGAATTAACTTTATGATTTTTTCATTACAAAAATAGAAATTCTTAAAAAATAAGCCCGCATTATGATAAAATTGGCCCAGGAACAATTTTCACTTAATGGGTGGCTATTATTTCATTGGTAAAATTATGAGTAATTCTGGCCTAATTTTTTGATAAAAATCGATAATACTTCATAAATCCTTGACCTAAATTCACCGCATTAAACTTTGAAGCCAATGGCGTGAATATAGACCATACTAATAAAAAGATCATTAATTTAAATCCGAGAAGTTATTTATTAATTTCAAAATTACCATCTTGTTGAAAATTTGAGACTTTTTTGGACGCCTTGATTGTATTTAATCCATCATCATCACTATTGTTATTATTATGGGCTTTATCTTTCGAAGAAGCCATATTCGTGTAAAAGTTAACACTAAATATTATTAGTTTAATTCATGCTATTGAAATAAACTATTGAGGAGATTTACTGTATGACAATCACACGGACTGTATAACAATCACACGGACTTTTATGAAAGAATGGAATTAGTTTTGCGTATTGTAATCAAAGGTCTATATAAAACAGACATTTATGATAGCATATAATCATTACATATTTCTTTAAAATATCGTTTTATGAATGGTTATTCAAGAAAACGAGAATAATGTCTTATAATTATGTACCAGGTGTTTTAGTGCTTGCACCAATTAGTGATATACAAACTGAAATATTAACTTCTGCGGCTTTAGAATTTGTTGCAACACTTCATAGATCTTTCAATCTTACAAGAAAAAATTTGCTTCGACAACGAGTTCTTAGACAACAAGAACTAGATAATGGCGTTCTTCCTAATTTTTTGCCTGAAACTATTCATATAAGAGAAGATAGCAGTTGGCAAGGTGCTTGCTTCGCTCCTGGCTTAGTTGATAGACGCGTTGAGATCACTGTACCAATTGAAAGGAAAATGATTATAAATGCACTTAATAGTGGTGCCTGTACTTACTTAGCAGATTTCGAAGGTACGCATGTCATCACGTAATTAATTTACCATAGTTCCGAAATTATGCACCACATAGGGATGGCAAATTATTTAAAACATTCTGTTTTAAAACAGTTTTATATTGCTTTAAAATGGGTTTTTTACATGTTTTAAAACATCGTCACTGATATTGATATCATGATTAATAATAATGTCATGATTATAAATTCGAATCTTCTGACTTTTTTGACTTTTACAACACAAACTGATGGCATATTTTGATTAAGAAATAAAAAATTCATGGAGACACTGAAGTTGAAATTACCCAATTATATACTGTAATTTTGGCTTCATCCATCAGCCCATAATCAACAATGTTTTAAAACATTTTATTAAATAACATAAAAATCATTTAAAAAGCGATTTTTACCATCCCTAGCACCACCCATCTACCTCAATTTTTTAATCTCATATTAGCGGAATTAATTTGGCTAAAGATCTCATTACAATTTCTGCTAATATGAGATTAAAAAATTTGAAGTAGAGAGGGTGCTTAATTTCGGAACTACGTATAAGATAAGTACGTAACATGTTTAAGGGGTACTTCTATTTCATATTTATTTTAAACAACTTTTATAAGACTCTAATTCTCCAACTTGGAACAACAATATTAATGGTCAAGTGAATTTACGCGATGCAATTCAAGGTACAATTGCTTATGTAGATCCTATAAATAATAAGAAATACGAACTTAGAAAAGATAGAAAACTTGCTACACTTATTGTGAGGTAATAAATTATTCTTTGACTTATTTGAGCTTTTAATTTACAAATTTTATTTAATTAGACCCCGTGGTTGGCATCTAGAAGAGAAGCATGTTTTAATTGACGGTGAACCTGTTTCCGCTTCAATATTCGATTTCGCTTTGTATTTTTTTCATAATGCCAAAAAAACAATTAAGATCGGCATCGGTCCTTATTTTTATCTGCCTAAAATAGAATCTTACTTAGAATCAAGGTAATTTGCACTTTATTTCAGTTGAATACCGTCATTTTAACAGAAATATATATTAACTTTTTGATGATGAAGGCTCTGGAATGATATATTTTGTGCTGCGCAAGATTTAATAGGTATTCCTCAAGGCACTATTCGTGCTACAGTGATAATTGAAACTATTCTTGCCGCTTTTGAAATGGATGAAATTATTTATGAATTACGAGAACATTCTGCTGGTCTTAACTGTGGTCGATGGGACTACATTTTTTCTATAATCAAAAAATTCCGCAATAACCCTAATTTCATTCTACCAAATCGTTCAGATGTTACCATGACCGTTCCTTTCATGGATGCTTACGTTAATCTATTAATTAAAACCTGTCATCATAGAGGCGTAAATGCAATAGGTGGCACAGGTGCTCAAATTCCTATCAAAAATGATTCTGAAGCTAATAAGATTGCCTTAAATAAAGTTCGTGTTGATAAATATCGTGAAGTTAAAGCAGGTCTTGACGGTACCTGGGTTTCACATCCAGCACTTGTTAAAATTTCTTTCGAAATTTTTAACGAACATTTAAAAGCGAAAAATCAAATTTATGCTAAACGTGAAAATGTAAATGTTACAGCATTAGACTTGCTAAATATGAATATTCCTGGTTCAATTACCGAAAGTGGAATTCGTAATAATATTTCGGTTGGAATTACTTATATTGAATCATGGCTGCGTGGTGTAGGTTGTATTTCAATGAATAATCTTATGGAAGCCACTGCAACTGCAGAAATTGCACGATCTCAATTATGGCAATGGGCTAAACATAAAGTTAGCTCTATTGAAGGAAAAGTTATTACAGGCGAATACTTGCTTAAATTACTTGATGAAGAAGTTATAAAGCTGGAAAAACAGTTAGGACCTCAGAAATTTTATGCATCAAAATATATTTTATCAAAAAAATACCTGGAAAGTCAAATCACTGGCAAAGATTACACAGAATTTATTACTACATTATTATATGAAGAAATTACGAGTTACTAGATAATTAGGCGTTATATTCAGAAAAATGGAATACTGAGTTTTTATAGAATTGAAAATTTTTTCATGAATCAATTTTTTATATAAATATTGATCAGGAAAATTCAATAATCACTTTGGAAGTTTAAAAAATGTTTCTATATATGAGTTGCTTTAACCCTTCTTTTACCGAAAGTTGAAGAATATAAGTGATGCATGACTGCCAAATAATATTAGGCAAGTAATTTTCTTTTAACAAGTTAATGCCTTTTATCATGTTGACACTATTGCCTATTATAATAGTATACACTTTATTTATTAATTCCCATTTATGTATTATGAGAAATAATTTCTTCACTGATACTTTGAAGCTTAAAATCACATGTTAACCATGTCATAAATATAATGGTTATACCAAAACTTTCTATTATAAGTCAACTACATTCCAGGGTTATAAAAACTATAATAACTTCTGACTATTTATTATACAAAGGTCTTAGTAAGCTCGATTACACAACGAATAATGAGTTTCGCTAATGGATTGTAAAAATATACGAATACCATCAGAGATTATGAATATGTTATTCGCAAAGTTATTTGTTTAATTAGATAATAAGAGAAATATATAATAACAATAAAAAGTGATAATTTAAAATAATCAAGTCAAGGCTTTATATTGGTCGTCCTATTTTTTAGCTTTTTTTTTATTAAATTTTTTTTTATATTTTGGTTGACCGTCTGCATAGGAGTTTACTATTTCAATTTTGAACGAGAAAGATCTTAGGGCATGATCTAGGTGACTCAACAAGAAATCAGCATTGATACTTGTATTGACTTGATATAAAACAGTAAACTGTTGATAATTTATGTGAACACTAATAACTTAAACAATGTCAGCTCAAGTATTTTCAAATTTATTGGTATCCACATAAGCGCTCCCCTCACAAAAAAAGGAAATGGGCCCTTTTTGCTGTGGGTCCTACCAAGGTCGTTAAAGAGTAATGGCCGAATTAAACTTAATTTAAGCCAAAATTCGAAATAACACCCTGTGCGTTTATTACATTAGCATATTAATTCAGTAAATAATTTAAGTGATTTAATTATTTATACAGAAGAACTATGAAAAAATTCAAGAATTTAAACAGAAAGTAAACATAGTCTTCGAATTTGCTTAAAAAAAATATCTAATTATGCCCGAGTTATACTTAATAATTCAAGCAAAATTAAATGTAATTTCGGTATGATTCCAGGCAAAATTAAGTATAATTTCAGGCAAATAAGTATAATTTAAAGGGAAATCCTATTTTGACACGGGTCAAAATAAACATTAGTTGCGTACCAGGATTAGGGTTAGTGTGGGCCGGAATTTTGTTGGGTATTTTAATATAAAAACCTGGCTGTCATTAACATAATTCCGGCCCGCACTAACCCTAAATTCTAAGAGGGTGCCATTTTGATTAGTCAAAATATAATTTCAAACAAAATTAAATATAATTCCTTCCAGGCAAAAAATATTCAGGCAAAATTAAAATACTGTATTTATATTAATAAAGATTCATAGCTTTGCATAAAAACAATTAGGTTCAATTTACATCAAAGTTATGTTACTATTTTTGGTTAAATCTACCCAAATTATGTTTACCAGAGTTGCGAATTTATTCTACCAAAATTATGTAAATTACGAATTTATTCTACCAACATTACCAACATTAAGTTTAATTGAAAAGGGAATTCACTTATTATTAAAAACATCTAAATGTGATATAGTATTTCACGTAAATTGTTTAAAGTATCCAAATCTATGATTTTATGATCGTGGACTCATGGGTCCGTGAAATCATGTATTATTTATATTTTTCTAATAAATAATCATGAATAAAAATAACGATTGACATCTTTAATTAAAGCATCTTAGGAAAAATATGAAATAATAAATTACCTTCATTGTAATTAACAAAAATCTTTTATTTTATTTGTTGGCAATTATTTTCAAGATACTGCAATTAATAAATTAGAAAACAATATAGTTCATAGATGTGTGAAACAGTTATAACAAATTGTACTTTTAGTTTGTTGCATCTCTAAATTATTACTTTTTGATGTAAAGTTATATAACACTTTATTTTAATTTAGTTCACAATCTATTCTAATGTCCAATTGAATATTGAAATAATCAATATAATTTTAAAATTTTATATTTATATTCAAATCGTAAAATATCTGTCTATTATCTTCAACAACATGGAGCAAGAATTAATATCTCTTTTTAGATTGTCACAACCTCAAAGTATTTTTTTTAATTGAATAAAAAATTATATCTATTATTAATTCTATTAATTCTATCGTTATTAATTTATCAGGGGCAATATTTTTAAGTCCTTCTCCAAGAATTGACTTTCCACCTTTACCACATCTTACTCCTGAGATGGCCGAGTTTGCCTTTGCCTACCATAATAACATCTTTCAATGGAATATAATGCAGATATATAATTGAAGTTTACTTCAAAGAAATTTTCCTTGTATTTCAAAAATAACGACAAGTTAACACCCATCTAACCTATATTTAATATTAATTTAAAAAAAAATAAAAATAAAAAATAAGGCATATTCATTGAAAATATTGCTCCCAACATTTTTGATTAAATTTCTCCAATTTTTGGTTAATCAAACTAAACAATTTTATTGGCTCTCAGTTTCGTGATTGATATGGCAAAAGTAATGAAAATTCTACAATGTTAATTTTTTTCTGTTTAAATCAGCTTTTTGGGCCACAGGAGAGTCACAACAATATATCAAAAAAATCAATACAAGTATTACTAACTATTAACAATTTTGAAGATTACTTTGTTGGAAATTGAAAACATGACTCTGATATGAATAAATTATCAAAGAAGAAAATTTCACATGTATATAACATTTTTTAGATTTATATTTGTTAAATAGATGTTATTTGAATTATTTTCATCTTAGTCTCATTCTTTTCCTTCTTCAATATGTACTTCTCTAAGGCATAGAATTCATAATTCGATTCAGTAGCCAACTTTTTTGCAATTGTATGCAGAGGTTTTTTACTTACTTCAAATGCATTATCTCTACTTGCCCAAATGTACATTGAAAGACATTCTTGATTTTGATTAAATTCACCAGACCAATACTTTTAAAATTATATAATAGAAATATAAATAGTGATAAATTATAAATTTTAATTTATAAATATTTATTCTTTACCTTAAGCAACCCTCCATGTTTTTCTACTTCATTATAAGCATTTTCTTTAGCAATGAACAAAGAATCATTATTTGCGTTTATACTTCTGATGGATCGAAACGCAACAAGATATCACTCTCCTTCAAAATCCTTTATGT